TTGAGGACTCATATACCATGGTGTAGCTTACACAGGGACTCATATACCATGGTGCAGCTTACACAGGGACTCATATACCATGGTGTAACTTACACAGGGACTCATATACCACGATGTAGCTTTCACAGGGATTCATATACCATGGTGCAGCTTACACAGGGAATCATATACCATGGTGTAGCTTTCACAGGGATTCATATACCATGGTGCAGCTTACACAGGGAATCATATACCATGGTGTAGCTTTCACAGGGATTCATATACCATGGTGCAGCTTACACAGGGACTCATATACCACAGTGTAGCTTACACAGGGACTCATATACCATGGTGTAGCTTACACAGGAACTCATATACACAGGTAGCTTCAGGGACTCATATACCATGGTGCAGCTTACACAGGGACTATACCATGCTTTCACAGGAACTCATATACCATGGTGTAGCTTTCACAGGGATTCATATACCATGGTGTAGCTTACACAGGGACTCATATACCACAGTGTAGCTTACACAGGGACTCATATACCATAGTGCAGCTTACACAGGAACTCATATACCATGGTGTAGCTTACACAGGAACTCATATACCACAGTGTAGCTTTCACAGGGATTCATATACCATGGTGTAGCTTACACAGGGACTCATATACCACAGTGTAGCTTACACAGGGACTCATATACCACGGTGTAGCTTTCACTGGGACTCATATACCATGGTGTAGCTTTCACAGGGACTCATATACCATGGTGTAGCTTACACAGGAACTCATATACCATGGTGTAGCTTACACAGGAACTCATATACCATGGTGTAGCTTACATAATGGCTCATATACCATATACTACAATAAAGCTTACGCAGGGACTCATCTATCACAGAGGTAATTCACACAAGGGCCCATATAACAGGGGAGTTTACACAGGGGCTCATATACCACAGTGATATTACTTTAATCCCACAGTCTTGTATGTGATATCACCAAGCTGTTTGGCATGGTGTCAATGTTACACACATGGCAGTTGTACGGCTTTCAGCTGGCACATTATACACATGTAAACAAATCATTAACTAAACCTCCTTCCACAATAACATGTCTTCTTTTCAGTTTTTCCCTAGATTTCCTGCTGTAGTAAATTTCCATTCACAACTGTATATGTATCTAGCAGAAGAAATTCAAGAAATAAGCACATATATGAGAAGTATGTTTTGTTGAAAAGCATCGATCCAATTTATGACTAGAAATTATTTGGCCGCATCATGAAGATTATCTACAAGAATAAATTAGATATACAGCAGGTGATTGTGAAATCAAACATAAACTCTTCGACAAACTCCTACTCCTACCATGTTACACAAAAACAAACAATTTTAATTTTATTATTTCTACGTCAAAATTTAGGCTAAGAGTTGTTGTTTTTATTATTATTTAATCTAAAATTATCCCTGAAAAATATTTTCTTCTTTTTATTGTTGTTGTAAATATTAACAACATAAATACTGAATACTGCTAGCCTTAGTGAAGAAGCCAAAGAAAATAATATAAAAATTAATCTTCAGAATTTAGCATTGTGTAGATAATAAGGTGTTTATGTTGCAAGTGTACATTGTCAGTGTCGCCAACAGACTGACACCACACTTACTTGCTGTAACTGGACAAGTACAAAAATGACATTCAGTCTAAACCTGAAATTATGGGATGTTATCTCCCATCTTGTATATAATCTTGTTATCCGTGAGATAATGTACCGTACTACAACCCTTAAAGGAAGGGCAATGATGGCCTTGGCGACATCAATTAATCAGCTACCATGGCAACAGGGCATACATGGTAACAAATTCACTTTCCTAAAGACACTTAAAACAAAATCATTTCATAAAGATACTAGTGCAGTAACATCTTTAAACACTGAACGATTTAAGATATTAACATTGAAGTGCTACAAGGCCAAACTAAATTTTCATTAATAAAAGACTCAACAATTCATGTTTAATGTTTATGTCTTTGATAAAGTAAAAAACATCATTTGGGACAAAGTTCATTTGAGGTATATTACAAGCTAACACTGTTTCTTAGCAATTTTTTTTAAAAATGAACTGGGTTAATTTGTAGACTGTAAATGTACATTTATAGACTACCTGTACATTATACAAACAATATATTGTTTTGAGCTTATATGAGTTTTAATATACTTTGTATCATGTTCTGAGAAGCACATTTTCTCTTGACTCGACTACAGATGCATATTTGGAAGTTATCTTAGATACAAGGAAACTGTGTTAAATACCCCTAGGACAAATATTCACTTTCTCGTGCCACCACTAAATGTAATATCCATATAGTCTGAATGTTGTTTTAACGAGTCTAGACTGCCAAAGGGGCGCCGTACTTTACCAAAGATATCTTTAGAAAACACTCTGTGTATTTCTGTATGGCCTTTGGCTCTATGTACAAGGCATAAGGGAATACCCACTTCCTGTCAGCTTAAGGAGGCACACATTGGGTGGCAGCATCATCAACATAATTCCTTGATAGTGATGACATACATTACTTCAGGATCTCTTCAACTTTCCACTGCATGAGGCATTAGAAGGTTCTCAGAGATTTTAAGAATGCTTCAATCAGTTACTGCTGTCATGAGCCTAATCTTTTTTTGTCTGCTTTGTGTTAACTATCTTTCTTTTGACATATTGAGTCTATTTATACCAATTTAGAACCTTCTTGAGTTGTGGGAACAGAGTCTGAATTTTATTATATTCTAATGTTACAATTGAGCAACTGGTGGGAAATGACTTCTTGTTGTCAAGCAAGATACCAAGAGTTATTTCCCCTGGATAACAAATGTCTTTCCCATCCACTGCAAGTTGTGTGACAACTGAACATCACATTGTTGGCCAGTTTACTTGTCAATACATTTACAATACTGTCAGTTTTGAGACATGTAATCACATAGTACAGACAATTAACACCTCGGGTAAGCATGTACATATGTTTATGTGTTTCGACAATACATACCTGAGGTAAAGCAAGACAAGGTTCATGCAAGGTGAGAAGGGGTTCATGAGGAGGGTGAAGGGTTCATGAGACAGGGTGAAGGGGTTCATGAGACAAGGGTGAAGGGTTCATGAGACAGGGTGAAGGGGTTCATGAGACAAGGTGAAGGGGGTTCATGAGACAAGGTAAAGGGTTCAAGGTGAAGGGTTCATGAGACAAGGTGAAGGGGTTCATGAGACAAGGTGAAGATGAGACAAGGTTCATGAGACAAGGTGAAGGGGTTCATGAGACAAGGTGAAGGGGTTCATGAGACAAAGGTGAAGGGGTTCATGAAGGACCAAAGGTGAAGGGGTTCATGAGACAAGGTGAAGGGTTCATGAGACCAGGTGGGTTCATGAGACAAGGTGAAAGGGTTCATGAGACAAGGTGAAGGGTTCATGAGACAAAGGTGAGACATGAGACAAGGTGAAGGGGTTCATGAGACAAGGTGAAGGGTTCATGTTCATGAGACCAGGTGAAGGAGTTCATGAGACAAGGTGAAAGGGTTCATGAGTGAAGGGGTTCATGAGACCAGGTGAAGGGGTTCATGAGAGCAGGTGAAGGGGTTCATGAGACCAGGTGAAGGGGTTCATGAGACCAGGTGAAGGGGTTCATGAGACCAGGTGAAGGGGTTCATGAGACCAGGTGAAGGGGTTCATGAGACCAGGTGAAGGGGTTCATGAGACCAGGTGAAGGGGTTCATGAGACCAGGTGACAAGACCAGGTGAAGGGGTTCATGAGACAAGGTGAAGGGGTTCATGAGACAGGTGAAGGGGGTCTCATGAACCAGGTGAAGGGGTTCATGAGACAGGTGAAGGGGTTCATGAGACCAGGTGAAGGGGTTCATGAGACCAGGTGAAGGGGTTCATGAGACAAGGTGAAGGGGTTCATGAGACAAGGTGAAGGGGTTCATGAGACAAGGTGAAGGGGTTCATGAGACCAGGTGAAGGGGTTCATGAGACAAGGTGAAGGGGTTCATGAGACAAGACAAAGCGGTTCATGAGACAAGGTAAAGGGGTTCATGAGACAAGGTTAAGGGGTTCATGAGAACTGTTTGAGAGGCATTCTAAAAGTTGTAACTAATAAGAATGACAAGTCTTTATGGATGATCAAGTTCTTTATTGTATAACAGCGACGTTTCAGTATAGATACTAATACCATTTTTATGCTTATACCATAAACTATTCCACATCACAGTTTACTGAGCAAACACTAGAATATGCAAATCAGTTGTCATTGCTGTGGTCAAGAGCAAAGCATACTGGTGTTCTACAAGGTATCGATGCGTATTCCAGCAAACCCAGACATACACCACCCATATGTCACATTTTCTGGGACTGAATCACAGGCAAACACAACGAAGTGCACTGTGTCACACATATCCTCATATCTTCAGCCTCTGTCTTGTTGTCTGCCTTCATGGCTTCCTCTCAACATGCCAATCAGTGAAAAGTTTTTTTATTGTCTTAAACATGTTTTTGTGGAAGTACTCTACTCTGAGCTAATAAGCTGTGCTACTGGCTATTCAACTGGATTAATGTTAGGTTGGATTAAGGAAAGGATTAACTACATCTCTACTTCACTGCACATAATTCCACTGGGCCTGAAGGGAAGTCATATTGATATTGGGTTGCACTTTAGGCTGCAATCACATTAATTTGGAGACGCATTAATTTCAAGATTTACAGTATTTAGAATGCACCAAATCCCAGCCATATAAAATGAAGTAAGAGTGGCTTGTAGTAATACTTGGTCATTTGATCAACATGCACTTGCATTCTGCTCTCAACTCCTAGGGGTATGCAACACAAGCTGCTGTATGAGATTCATGATCGTTGACATCCACATCACCATCTCATCCTATCATCTATTTTTTTTTTAAAACACTGCAAAAGATTGTTTGGGACATTTATAAAACCTGGAAACCAAGTAAATATAGTGTAAAAGGATGAACTAGGCACTTACTGCGAGACCTGGCAGATCCCCCTCGTTTTAAACTCTTCCTGCGATCCACACTTTCACTTCTAAGCTGCAGTTTTCGATGATCACGCTCACGACTTCGTCCAGAGTGTTCTGTTAAATACAGAATTTGAGTGTGAAAGTATATGGTTTGAAAGTATGAATTTCATCAATACTCCAGCAAAACTGGGGACAGGTACTCACACATCATGCTGGGAAGTGAACCCTTAACAAGCAAGTCCTTCAACTGCTCTAGCATTCTTGGTACCTGCATAAACTACCTTGAACAAGAGAAGGTTGCAGTGATCTTGTTACCTGCATATACCATCTGACCAAGAGAAGGTTGCAGTGAACTTGTTACCTGCATATACCATCTGACCAAGAGAAGGTTGCAGTGATCTTGTTACCTGCATATACCACCTAACCAAGAGAAGGTTGCAGTGATCTTGTTACCTGCATATACCACCTAACCAAGAGAAGGTTGCAGTGAACTTGTTACCTGCATAAACTACCTTGAACAAGAGAAGGTTGCAGTGATCTTGTTACCTGCATATACCACCTAACCAAGAGAAGGTTGCAGTGATCTTGTTACCTGCATATACCACCTAACCAAGAGAAGGTTGCAGTGAACTTGTTACCTGCATAAACTACCTAACCAAGAGAAGGTTGCAGTGATCTTGTTACCTGAATATACCACCTGACCAAGAGAAGCCAGTAGTAATCTTGGTACCTGCATAAACTACCTATGCAAGACGAGCCTGTAGTAATCTTGGTACTTGCATAAACCATCTGATGAAGGGAAGCTTGTAGTGATATTGGTATCTGCATATACTACCTAATTTAACAAGCAGAATAGACTGTGATATTTGTGAAGCTGCTATGTTATGCAAGTTTCTTGTTAGAGAACAAACTCCAGGCCATGATTAAAAAAGAAACAGAAATGCAAGTTCAAGGTCAAAGGTGCAGATAAAAAATGATCATTTATCATCTCATCAAATTGCTCCTCTCACTTTGTATTTTCCTTTTAGGTCCCTATCTCTTCTGCAATCATCTCTTCCAACAAGTAAGGAACCCAATTCCTACAATCCCATGTCATTCAGCTCGTGTATCCAATCCTGCTGAACTCTACCCAAACACAAATTTGTTTTTCTGATTACTCAATTTAACTAAAGAACAAACCTCTATTGTACATGTGACACAACCACTAAAACTGATTGATACTCATGATGGGAAAAGTTATTTTCATCCCTTCTATTCTGATCCACATTGACAAAAGCTATATATACACGCTGATGTCGAGTTGATTGGCATTACTGGATTACCTTCAAAATAAGAAGAAACTATAGCATTGTTGACCTTCACGATTCCTGAACACAAGTCTGGTAAATCAAAGTGATTGATCTTATACTTGTGCAACCCCATCTCTTGGTACCTGCATAAACTACCTAACCAAGAGAAGGTTGCAGTGATCTTGTTACCTGCATATACAACCTTGACCAAGAGAAGCTTACAGTGACCTTGTTACCTGCATATACAACCTTGACAAAGAGATGCTTACAGTGATCTTGTTACCTGAATATACAACCTGACCAAGAGAAGCTTGCAGTGATCCTGTTACCTGCATATACCACCTGACCAAGAGAAGCTTACAGTGATCTTGTTACCTGCATATACCACCTGACCAAGAGATGCTTACAGTGACCTTGTTACCTGAATATACCACCTGACCAAGAGAAGCCAGTAGTAATCTTGGTACCTGCATAAACTACCTATGCAAGACGAGCCTGTAGTAATCTTGGTACTTGCATAAACCATCTGATGAAGGGAAGCTTGTAGTGATATTGGTATCTGCATATACTACCTAATTTAACAAGCAGAATAGACTGTGATATTTGTGAAGCTGCTATGTTATGCAAGTTTCTTGTTAGAGAACAAACTCCAGGCCATGAGTAAAAAAGAGACAGAAACGCAAGTTCAAGGTCAAAGGTGCAGATAAAAAATGATCATTTATCATCTCATCAAATTGCTCCTCTCACTTTGTATTTTCCTTTTAGGTCCCTATCTCTTCTGCAATCATCTCTTCCAACAAGTAAGGAACCCAATTCCTACAATCCCATGTCATTCAGCTCGTGTATCCAATCCTGCTGAACTCTACCCAAACACAAATTTGTTTTTCTGATTACTCAATTTAACTAAAGAACAAACCTCTATTGTACATGTGACACAACCACTAAAACTGATTGATACTCATGATGGGAAAAGTTATTTTCATCCCTTCTATTCTGATCCACATTGACAAAAGCTATATATACACGCTGATGTCGAGTTGATTGGCATTACTGGATTACCTTCAAAATAAGAAGAAACTATAGCATTGTTGACCTTACGATTCCTGAACACAAGTCTGGTAAATCAAAGTGATTGATCTTATACTTGTGCAACCCCATCCTGCACAATCTTCAGTTTCATCCAGAAGGCATAGCTGAGCATGATTATGTGGTCTGGGCACATCTCAGCAGAGCAAACTGTAACGGATTCCAACAGAGACACACACCAATTTTTGTGTCTTGTTATTTGCAGAGCAAACCTTGTCTTCATTATTTTCACAGGTGTGGAGTTTCACAATATCTGAATGGACTCATTGCATTAATTAGCATCTCCTTCATCAAAAGATTATTGGTAATTAGTCCCTGCCTTGAGCAAGGTGAATGATTTTCTACACTTAAGAACATACTAGTTGGTGATAGTCTCATCTCAGTCAAGCAAGTCGACAAGAGTCTGTCATTACAGGAGAGCTGCTGTTCTCCTGATGGCTAATATGTGCCTGTGTGTTCCTTTGACCTGGTTCCCAGACAGCTGTATTGGCTTTCTTCTGAATGACCAGCAAGAACTATGTAGCAAAATGGATTTTTGTAATACTTTCATCCTTGTTCTAATGCTTCGATTCCTGAGTTTTTGGTACTAAATCAAAAGAAAAAAAGAATGTCATTTTGTTTTTGTTTTATTTTTTATTTTTATATATTTAGTTACATTGATATTTTGCAAAACTTTGAGTTTCTTTTCACATTATCTTATTTCAGTTATTAATTATTTTCATATTTTTGCATACAAATACATGAAATTAAAGTAAAAATGGTACAGTGGAATATGATTTCATTCAAAATACTGTTTGTGATTACTTTTTTAAAAGATTAAATCAACAATTAAAACAGATTTGGGAAAACAGCACAGGAAAATCAGATAATCTACAAAACAAATGATAAAAGAGTGGTTTATGTATCGAGTGATTTAGGAAGAGACCATGTCATGTTCAACCATATACGCAGCCTTGACAACAGGATTCTTGACATAATAACCCAAATCACATTCATATGGATATTTGTATCTACAATCCACAAAACTAATTCTCATAACATGTCAAGTGAATATTTAAACATATCCGACCTATTTGTTGATCTTATCAAAAGTGGAGTAGTATATTTTATTTGAAATAAATGAGTGACTTTGGTACACCACATCATGAATAATATCATGGCAGAAGACCCCAGACATGGACTTCACATACTGTACCCATGTCTGGAACTGAACTCATGTCATTGGTGTGATGAGCAAACACTTTAACCACTAGGTTACCCCATCATCCCAAGGAATTAAGTATTTGTCTTGTAAAAAGTCTCTCATACCAACACTTAGAAGGAAGGATGTATGACAAGATTTACATGCATCATCATTCCATTAGTTCCTAAACCAGCGCCTTGTCAGTATTGCAGTAATGATTATTTGGCTATCTTGGAAAGCCTCTACTTGACATGGACTCCGTTTTAGTCTTGTCCAAGCGTCTGTCCTCCTTGCCCCCTTGGTGCTGTAATCTTGGGACAAGCGCCAGACATATCTACCAAGCCTAATTCATCCTTGGAATAAAAGTTGTGAGATTCTGGCAGACATGCAGACAGTATCAATAGGATAGCAACTTCTTGAATCGACTGGACAAAATAAGCACCGTTTGGATCAGCAATATACTTGTTATACTTATTGCCAGTTCAGCAGCCAGATTTGAAATGTCTGTCTGTCATAACAAGGCAAGTCAAACATGTCCATTCTCTATTTCACACTGGATGAGATGTAGCCAACTGGTGTTGTATCATCTGACACTACCATGAAGCAATACAGCATGTCTGCCATAAGATCAGACTAGATATGTTGGCAAGTGTTCCGTCCGTAACCCCCGCTTGAAATGTATTCTATTTATTAGGATTATGTTTTCGAGGGTTTAGGGTTAGGTTAAGGGGTTAGGGTTAGGGTTATTGTTAGGGTTAGGCTTTTTATTAAAAAAAATCTATTCTTAGGCATAGAATGAGGCTAAATACAGCAGACTAGATACGTCTGCTACAACACATCAGGCTAGATATGTCTGCTACAACACAGCAGACTAGATACGTCTGCTCCAACACATCAGGCTAGAATGTCACAGACTATATATTCAGTCATGACAGGTGCAGCCTACACTACACAAGTGTAGCCAGGTTATATTGGAAAACAAGAGTTGTGGTGTACCAATACAGGATGAGATTAACAAGTCTGAATCAATATGTTGCTGACTGCTGTATAACTATGTTCAGGGCATTGCTTCACATATTTCTGCACGGTGTCAATAACCTGTCTTGTCATCTGTCACCGACATGGTATTCCATGTTGACAAGAACATTTCCTTCAAAAACAGGTTTTCAGAATAATTATTCAAACTGTCATTCAAACAGTTTTTGTCTACTTGTATGAATTTGATGTTCATAAATTCTGATGTTTCAAAACGTTCACTCTGACAAGAGCAACACATGTTTTTGAATGTGATGTAACAATCTAGGTACATGGTACAAAGTACATTTTGTCTTCCTTCAAAGGTGGTTTATCATGATCAAAATACTGTCACAATGGAGAAACGACATGTCATTGAAAGAAACATGCTTAATTCTGAATAACTAAAAGTGATACAACTACACAGTATGGGAGATTTTGTCTTCTATCGCAGGAATATTATAATCACATCAAACTACTGTCATAATGGAGAGACGATATACACCATTGAATGGGAGGAAATGCCGAATTCCAAACACTAGCCTAATGTTTAGTCTCTGAATATATATAATATTCATAGCAACAACCATTCAAATTGAAAAGGAGAATCAGTGAGATTGTAAATCCTGAACATGAGGAAATCTAGACTTGCTTCATTTAGGGTTCTAGAATTTTAGGGCGGGCTAGGCAGTAGGAAAATAATATGGTTCAGGGACTGTGGGATAGGCTATCCAAACATCTGCATGTGATACAGCTCTGCCTTCATCATTCAAATTAACCGAGGTTGATGAGGCTGTACCTGACCTTGCAGTGTGAGTGACAGCCGATTCATGTCCTGGCGAGAAACAATCCAGCGACATTACAGTGGTCTGGAGATAATAACAACCCTTCCCGGCAAACCAGTGGTGGATAGCATGAACACCAACCACCACCAGGGACATTGTGACCATCTAATCCTCACCTTCGCTGTAGTACTAGGAAAAGGACACACAGTTTTTCTATACTGGTGACTAACCTGCATCAGTACATAGTTTAAAGGGGAAGTGGGCTAGCCTAGTGGATAAAGCATTCGTTCATCATGCCAAAGACCCGGGTTTGATTCCCCACATGGGTACAGTGTGTGTTAAGCCCATTTCTGATGTCCCCTGCCATGATATTAATGGAATATTGCTAAAAGTGGCGTAAAACCAAACTCACTCACTCAGTCACTCACATAGTTCAAAGCATAAATTCATATTCACTCATACATATTCACTCACTCACACATTCACTCACACATATTCACTCGCTCACATATTCACTCACACATATTCACTCGCTCACACATATTCACTCGCTCACATATTCACTCACTCACACATATTCACTCACACATATTCACTCGCTCACACATTCACTTGTACATTCAATAGCTCCCTCACACTATCACTCACTCACTCAGCTGCTGCATTATATCAGAATTACTTAGTTGTCCACAAAGCTTCACCTTATTTGATGTTAGTTGAATCTCCCAATGATATTAGACTTACAACTTATTCAAAACTTACAACAGGTCCAATAGAGCATAGAACTGAAGATTACACAGATTACACTCAGAGGAAAAGGATGTCAATATAGACAAAATCAAAATAGACAAAAATCATCATGGCAGCTCTTATAGAATCTGATGGATTGGTCCAAAATTCTCTTTGGCATGATTCAGAGAAAAGACAGACAGCTACATTTGTGTCAGAAAGGCGTTTCCAAGAAGGACACATATCGGCTTACCTCGACTGCTTCAACTAGTTAAGGGCCACTCCAAGCAATTTACATCATATATGATTCATAAACAAACTAAATGGAATAAAAGCTATTTGTTAGCCAATTTCATCAAATCTTCAGCATACGCCAGTCAGGATTTTTACTTAAATTGAAAAGCCATTTGCTCACATACTTGAGAACTGGGCCTGCATGTTGTCATGGCAGCACAGAGGTAATCTGGGCCAGTCAAACTGTAGCAACAATCCACAATGACACCCAATGCATATTAGACTATAAACAATATTTAACATGTTATATTTGGGATTACACTTTCTTCGTAAAGTACAGATTCAAGTACTTTTGGGATTGAGTCCCATCCAGGATTTGAACCCACACACTCAAGAGTCAGGCACCTAATTGCCAGCACACAAAGTCAGACGTCTAGACCCGCTCAGCCACCGCGGCTTCCACAAAAATGGAAGTCGGACAACTGGTAGTCTAGACTGCGAACTTTGTGTACCCCTCTGATAAGTGTTAATTGGAACGGCTCCCACGGCCAAAAGCTATGAAATACACAATGCCATTTTAGAAACGCCATTTTTTAAACAATATTGTTATTATGTTTGCTGTTTAACTCCACACTTTGCAATATTCCAGCAATACAAATGATAGTCTTGGCCTGATAATACAATGATGATCCCATCAATATCCTTTACAACAAGCATGGGTTGCTGAGAACCACTTCTAACGGATACCTGTACCATTCTAATAAACAATAAACACACAGACAATTAAAAACAAGAGAACATCCCTGTTTCCCATCAATCTCAAATATTACCACTTGATAAACATTTAGACTTGGTTTGTTCTCTCCTGCCTCAGATCAGATATAAAACTTGACACCCTGAACATGGTCGTAACAACAGCCTTGACAATAAACCCACGTACCACTTGACTACAACATGAGAATATGATAAAATTTTGTTGATTTGGGTGTCATTTCTTAAAATTCATAATGACACATAAATAAATTCGGAATTCCATAACCAGAACTGAGTTACAGTCGTATCCTTTTTCTAGAACCCTCTGTGTCCAATACATATCGATATGTAGACAGTGCAGTCATGTCTAAATGCAGTTTACTGGACAACAAACTTACAAACAACTAGTGGTGTTCTGATTAATTGAAATAATCGAAGATTGGTCGCAGTGACAAAAACCAAGCAATGGATCACATTTTCTCATAATCGAACACAAACAATTTTGGAACTACTGTTTTAGTCTTTGAAACTCTTGTCATGGAACATATATTCGAAGTTGTCAGGGCCTGAAAATGTGTTAATTCTTAGAAAACTCACTTCAATAACTGAAAAGTCATGACTTAATAATAGTTGAAGACTCTGAATAGTTAATGTTCATGATATATTAGTCATCACTTTAAAGTAGCAAGTTGCATCATGTTATACATATCTGCAATAACAACCTGAATAGAAAAATCTGAGAAATGACGATAACCAATTATTTTCGATGATTTCTCGTTGGTAATCAATTGTGAGATTTCAACCAATTCCCAACACTACAAACAACCTAGTTTATGAGTTCACAAAAAAATACCATGCATAACAAGACCCTGCCATCAGTTAAAAACCTTGCTCCTTCCTGTCTTTGACCAAAAAAAGACAATGTCTGAACCAATTCTAATCCTCCATATTGGCAGTATATATTATTTTTCAAGTGAAAACAGGTATTTCAAATTAATTCTGAGGCTCCTGATATGTTGAGTTTCCTGCAACAGGGTAACAGTATCTGCACACAGGAAATGTAGTTAGGAAAGCAGTTTCCAGGAATCTGTTGTGGTGCCTCTAAAATGGCACATCTATGTCAACGTTTCACTCACCAAGGACCTTTTAACAGGTCAGTGCTCTAGAGTATACACCTTAATTAGCGGCTTGGGAAATAGGAAAGTGGTGATGATGATATCATGTTTTACATTTGTCAGTCTGCCTGAACATGACTGGCCCAGTTCCATCAAGTCTCCAGAGTCTATTGATCCTCATTACCAGACATGCAGTACATGCATGCCCAGAGCTCCAGTATTCTGTTTCTTCAGACTGGCCAAGTTCCGATGATGCGAGGATCATGACTTCTGCTACTTCATGGAATTGAATGGAGTCTACACATTTAGTGAGATTCAGATTTGAAGATACCAGGACAACAGTCTCGGTTCTATTATGACTTCTCGCCGAGATTTATTACTGTAAAAGGGTTGACTGGCCTTCATGACAAATAAATAGTTGTTTAGGCGGTAGTACGGGCTCTTGGAAGCAACTGTCAAGACACTCCGAGGTCCGGTCACATTTACAAAATAATTTTTCAGTCAACAAAAATTACACATTTTCTTTTAAAGGACATGCCAAACAATTTAAAACACATTAGCAGATCTAGCAATGAGTGATTATTTTTCATAAATCTGAAGGACAAATAATATTCATACTGTTTAGGGATTTTTTTTATCAAATTCAAGTTTCCAAATCATCAACTGGTTGACCCTTATGTATTGGAAGGCATGGGCTGACCAGAAATGTCTGATTGTTAGAGTCAGGAAAGAATGGTTTTCTTCAGCCTGCCACTGTGTAGACAGCAGTCCTAGCCTGGCAATGAATGTACTCAATAATGCTTCTGAGAAGCCCACAAAGGTAGGTCTGGTTCTGATATATAATGGCTTCTCAGATGGATGTGAAACTCAATCTCATAGGTGATAGCAGAGCTGTTCTCTTGTAGCAATCAAATATGACCATGAGGTGTAATTCTTGCCATCAAGAAAACTGTTATATCCAATAATCAAGGTCTACAGAGTACAAGGACAATGCCCTTCAACTACAAGAACAAATCTCCAAGAGTCCACCTTGTCAAGTATTGTCTATATTCAGCTGCTACTTGCAGTTAAGGTTTGCAGGCATTTTTCAACACTGAACAGCCCATTAAAATTCACTCACTATGTACCTGTATATTTTACATCATAATTATTTCCCATTACAGAGTAAAAACAATAAATATATTTGGCAGGTAGGGTTCATTGTACAAATAACCTTAACACTATGATTGTCAATGGGAATGGGAGTTACAATTTCCTTTCTTGAGATATCATTTCATACAATGGCACCCTGGTCTGTAAGCAAGGAATTACATTGGTGAGGCCTAATGTCATTTTTGCCAGTAATTTTTTCATGTGGAAAACGGACAATTTTGACCTACCAGAACTGTTAGAATCATCTCTACTGCATGTCTCAGTTATCTCCCCTGGTGCAGAGTACTTCCTGATGGATGTGTTGTCCGTGACCTTGAGACTGTTGCTGGAGGTGACTGGCAGGATGTGGCTCACATCAATCACTGGCAGAGTCTTAGACCGCTGGAGTTCCTTTTTACTGGAATAAGATAATAAAGCTTTCAGGAGGATTGACTGGAATAAATTCCTTTCATTAGCAAATATGATTCACTTTGAACATGTGGTTCAACATATAAAATTGTGTCTGTGGCAGTTTTGTTGTGCAAGTAATGACCAGACAACATGGCTGATCAACATTTTGTCAGGTTGTGATTACCTATACACGCTTTCTGAACATTCAATTATTTCCTGAAAAGGAAGACCAATGAATCACACACCAGAGACCATATAATAATATTAAATTTATTCAGTTACCTCGTCTCAAGAACACTCAGCAATGTTCAACATTCTTCACTGACACTGAGACCATGGAAATAAATATTCCTTGGCATTAACATTTATTAGCATTAACAATAGCATTGGCCATAACAAAAGGTCAAGTTTTACAACTTTCTTTGCAGAGTTGTGTCCCTTGGCTGCACCAGGGTCTGCTGGTCATTGTTTGAAGCCCAGACTAAGCCAGAGTACAATGGTTTGTCAGCACCTGAACTGAGCTGATGGACTATCCTACACTGGCACCGATGCCTTTCTACCAACACTAAATCCACAAACGGTGATTTAAACAAAATACTGGTAATAATGATTTTGTCCCTTTAGATGTATCAGCAGCTGTGCATCTATCAAAATGTCCATCAACCACAGATAGAAGTTATCTAAGTCTACATAAGACTCTTGACACTGAAGCAGCAATGTGATCATAACATAATTATACTGTAGTAATTAAACAAGACTACATGTTAAAAACTGACTGAGAATCGGTCTTCAGTAAACCATGCTTGTCATTTGATGCATGTCATATTCCAATAGCAGAGATCGATGCTGATGCTGTTGATCACTGGATTATCTAATCCAGGCTCAATTATTTATAGACCACCTTCATATAGCTGGAATATTCAACATTTTAAACAACAAACACACAAAATTGAACAAGTCACAACAAAAGATCTAAATACAAACAACTCAAACCAAGAGAATAAGTAAATACTGTTCATACTGCCTTTAGCAACCTTCCAGTCATACCTTGGTGGGAGACATCAAGAAAAACCTTTTAACCCACAAACCATGAAAGGTGATGAGTAGTTTTAGTTCCACTCGAATACCCCATAACAGAGTAATGTCAACAAAAATATTTCAAAATAAAACTTTTTGTGCATAGAAACCATGTCAGTGGTCGGCTGAAGCAGACAGATCCTGGTGGGCACAAAAAGCAAGATTGGACAATTGAAGCTGCTGGAGCTGGTAGTAATTTTGACAACTGTAACTGCGATGAATAAATCCCGTCTGACACTCAATCAGCATCAATAAACAATATTTCCCACAGTTCCTGTGTAATGGGATGTGCATTGGTGGAAGTATTACCTTCTATGTCTCCGGAGAGAGGATCGGAAAAAGTCTATCAAATTCAGGGATGCCATAGGTGAGGGAATGTTCTCCTCCATTGTTCACAACAGGTCCTTTGAGAGCAATTTCATGATCTGGGTAATGTTCTCATCACAGTGAAATGAGGTCCTTACCAACCTACTATGACCTCAACTGGCCAGTGGTGTATTTGACTTGAAACTTCAATATTTTCACAATCACAATGAAATGTACAGAAACGCTGGGAATAGCATTAGGGTTAACACAGGCTTGCTGATTTTAATCCTTCACTTCACCAGAAAAGATAAAAGTTCAAAATAATGTCTATGTCAACGCATGATAGATTTAGTCTGATCCCTTGAAACACATAATTTCTACGATCGCTTTACACATGACATAACACTTGGCCCAAATGAAGACAGTTCCAAGCTAGAGAGGCATAATGGCTACAGCAACACATTAAATTGTAATAAAAGTACTCAACAAGTTCAAATGTTCCCAACCAATTCTCCTTCATAGGACACAAAAGATGTCATGTATGCATAACAAAGACATTTAAAGAAATCACATCATTTTTTTTTAAATACACCTCGCATTGCATTTAAGACTACAGTACTTGAAAAAGTATTAGGACAATATTGATTAAAATAATATCAATAACTAACAAAAACATTTGCATCTAATTTGCATCCAACTCTGTGTATATTTTGCCCTTCGGTGACAAAATTTAACTAAAAAAATATTGATGTAACTAAACATGTGATCATACTTTCCTCAAGGCTAACCCAAAAAATGTGAACAACTTCGGAGATATTAATCACATTCCATAGAGTCAATAATATGTAATCAGAAAAAAATATTGTAAAAAACATTCTTCTGATTTGCACTCATTCCCATTTCGTCCATCGGTATGAAAGTAAATCAACTTTAAGTGTAACTCAAACTAACACAATCTTCAACTTTCCACAGTCATAAGGCAATAGGATTTGCTTTACTGAGATAGGAAAGCTCAAGGCATCAAATATTCTGTGTTAGCTCGAGGCCTGATGGTTGCGAGGTCAACTCTAATCATGAAATTCCAATGCAGCCCTCTAATCTATGATTACATAACAAGGCTTACGCCACAGTACACTAAACCACTCTATACACTCTGGGATGGATGTTGAGGTGTATTAAATTCACATCATGACTTTTCACAATTTCAGCATGTTTTTATATATGGATATATGATAAATCTGGAGGTAAAAGATCTGTGTGTACATTGGAAATAAATGATAAACACTTCTTATACAAATCTAAATCAAAGGATCTTAGGTGACAATCCTTTACAAAACATTACACAAAACATGCAGTCTAGATCTGGATCAAAACACAGGGTGGTGTGAATTACTGTATTGACATGTGTGACAGGAAAAACATTCATGCACCTTGTCACACATGTAGATAAGAAAACAGCAACAAATAACATAAGACTTATGAATGAAGCCTAGAATCTCATATATAACATCAACTGGTGTCAATATCAACCTAATGATATTATCCAAGCTGATACGAGTCAGGCTTTCAACAGTGAACAAACCCACAGGTATTCCATATACAGGTACAAGCACTGAACCTTTCCAGTGGATCATTCATAGGTCTTTGATGATCTCGCACTAAAGAACTCATTCAATATGTTTTTCAAGTCCTGATCAATGATACAGTTTCATGTTCATTCACAAAGTAAGATGACAGCATAAAATCTTCTACATCAATAATTTTCTCCCATCCCTGTTCACACTGAGAGGTCAAAACTCTTTACATATACTTGCAAGTGTCTCATATTATCCAAGAATCCACAGACAACAATACTCCATAGTTCTTGAACTGTTGGTGCACAGCTTCATTTTTGCAAGGTTTGCATGTCTGTAAACCCCTTGACATATGTAATAATGTATTCCTAAGTATTGCACAATACTGAACATTTGTCATACCACCCACAAGACTGTACTGTCTCCCACTGGTTAAGGAAATATTATAATAAACAGTTTTGAAATACTCTCATACTACCCAGCTTAAAACTAATGACTTTCTGCAAGGGTTCAGAATATATAACCTTAGAGATCTATCAATCACTAGATGGTTATGTCCATTACAAGACAGTCATATGTTGTGGTGGGAAGCATTTGACAGGTACTTAATGTTAACAGCCTTGTGTCAACAATATCATGTCAACATTATCAGATACTGAATGGAGAACGTGACAAGCAAATAGCAGGTAAGTAAATTCAGGTACACTGAAACCACAGCTCCATTGAATGGACATCAATGACGACACAGATGAAGGAAAACATTAGGCCCTGCTTTAAGTAAGTCAATAACGGAGTTGACATTGTAAGTGTTCAGTCACCCAGATAATATAATTGCATTGTGTCTCTACGTACTGACGCCATATAGCAGGAATAATGCTGAGTGTGGCGTTAAAAACAACAAACTCTACCTACTGAACACCTGTCATCAATGTCTCCAAATACATCACATATTGATCCACTGGATTATCCACTTTACAAACCTTGAAGTCACTAAGAGACTAGTCTATTGGGGCCCGTCTATTGTCACCTCTCATTCACTAAGTGCACACTTTCTAATTAGTGGTTCAAGCAGGTACTCTAATACCATGTGTAATGTTCAGAGACCTGAATGGAAAATTGATACAAAATAATTATTGACACAAGCACAGAGTTCCCATTAATATGAATAAATCCATCACTGTGGCATGAATGATAAAATAATTGTAGTCTTTAATAAATCCCTAATAAAACATATCCTAATAATTCTAAATCCGCACATTGAATCTTTGTGTCATAATCTGACAATTTCACAAGTCAATGACTTTCACCAGTTTCATTCATTTATCCATGAATATTTAGGGAAATCTCACGCTGTCCTCAATGGGACTGGATCCATTGGTAACAACGAACAACACTTCCAACAGAGGGTGCACCTGAAAGTTCTAATTCTTGAATGGAAACAGCATCCAGTGAGAATTAAGTCATCAATGAAGCTAAAACACCAATACTGTGTCCTTCCACTCAAATTCAATGGCAGTTCTAGCATTGGTGTTTAGATCAAAGAGTCAATCTCAATGTGTTGATCTAAATTCAGTTATACAGATGAAACACCTCCGATGAGCACTTCCAAACCATTCTAAAAGGTAATGTGCTATTCTAACCATGCCTCAATCAAGGTAGGCCACTTGAACTTCCACTTCAGTGTTGTCTAGATCTCCAGGAACAATTCCACAGACACATCAAAACCAGAGTGCTGTGATGCATTTTGGCGATGTCCTCCAAAGTACATTTCCACGGTTTGAAAACCTGTCAGCTTGTCACGTGACTAGTGAAAATCTAAAAGGACTAGCTGAGTGCTCAAAATGTTACATACAAACTAGTCCCAAACAAGCTGTTGACTTGTTGAACTTATGTCAGAATCTGTTTCTGTATGTTAGTATACAACACATACAAATAAGTCCTCCATTCCCTAAACACAGCAGTAGGAAAATGACATTTAACACAGGAGGGAAGAGCTGAATTTGGAAAGGATGTGTTTGGCCATATTATGCACGAGTGGTTATAAGTGGAT